GCTGTTGGAGACCTCTCTTATCCCCCCCACCTGGGTCCCTGTGGCTGACTGTTCCTCTGTCTGGCTTCCTGTCTTTTAATCCCCTTTCTCCTGCTCCTCTGGCCTGCTTCTTTGGGCGTCCCTGAGTTTCCCCTCCTCACCTAATCCCTTCGGTTGATTGCTCTTGCCAAAAGGAGTACATGTTGCTAATTTCCATCCTAGACAAAAGGATGATGGCAAAACACCTTAACTTCTGGGCTAGGGGAAGCAAGGTGATTTGAGTGATTCTGTCAGTTTTACAGGGTCTACATTATGCCAAGTACCTTTTAAGCTTTAGTGACACTGAAGGATAAAGGCTGCCCACTTTAGTGTGTGTGTGTGTGTGTGTGTATGTGTATGCTTAGAAGGGAGTGGATGTGTCCAGTGTCAGTCACCCAGGGAAGAAGAATATATAGGGCAGGGTGGGATCTCAGGATGTGGGCATTTGGAAGGAAACAGAATATAGTTGTCCTGGCAGCTGAAGTTCCCTCGGGGCTAGACTCTGAGGAATCTAATTGTGTTTTAGTTGGTAACAAACAAGCTTCAAGCAGTGAGGCAGCCCTTGGGAAGGGGACCCCATGAGGATATGCTGAGGCCTATGGGCTCTGAAAGCAACTGAATGCAATGGCTGGTTTTAAGTTATTCTGGTTAGTACCAACTGAAAGGCTTGAGAGTGGAGCCCCAGGTGAATGGTTAAGTTGAGTTGGAATGTTAAGATTATGAAGAGCCTGGTAAAAAATAAAACAAAAACCAACCAAACTAAACTCACTGCCATTGAGCCAATTCCAACTCATAGAAGCCCCCTTTGGGTTTCCGAGGCAGTAGATCTTCATAGACGTAGATTGCCTCATCTTCCTTCTGCAGAGCAGCTGGTGGGTTTGAAATGCCAACCTTCTAGTTAGCAGTTAAATGCTTTAGGCACCATGCCACCAGAGCTCCTTATGCAGAGCCTGGTAGTCAGCTTGATTGGATAAGCATGTACCTACCAAGCATCTTGCTAGACAATTCTAGGACTAGGGCTTGGAACATTACATACTGGGATAACTGCTGCCCGCTCCCATGTTCTTTCTTTTGTTTGAATAGATATTAGGAAGGGAATAAAAAGAAGTGAAATGAAACTTGAGAACATTTATGTTGTTCACAAGGCAGCCAGAATATTATTCTCTTCACACATCTGATACCATCACCCCTTTACTTAACTGTTTTCTCATTGCTTAAGATAAGCAAAGCTAAAGAACTTTATATACATTAACTCATTTTATCCTTGCTGCACTGTGGTGGCATAGTCATTAAAGCAGTTGGCTGCTAACCAAAAGGTTGGCGGTTGGAATCTACCAGATGCTTTGTGGGAGAACCATGAGGCAGTCTGCTTCCGTAAAGATTTACCGCCTTGGAAATCCTATGGGGGCAGTTCTACTCTGTCCTATAGAATAACTGAGTCAGAATCACTGGATGGCAGTAGCTTTGGGTATTGTTCGTTGGTTGGTTTTATAGCCCCAAAGTTAGTGCAGGCATTATCCTCATTTTGTAGCTGAGGAAACTGAGTCACAGAGAGGTCAGGTAACTTGCTCAAGATTATGTAGTTAGAAAGTGGCAGAACTAGTATTTAAGCCCAGGTAGGTGAGCTCGAGTTCGTGCTCTCAATTATCGTACTTTAAGGACTCAAATTCTTAGAACTGTCCACGAGACTTTGTTCCTATCTGGGCCCCAAAGTACACAACACATTGGTTCATGCAGTTCCCTTACTCCACCCATCTGCACCCCGCGGTATCTGGGGGTATCTGGGAGCCTAGGAACCACAATACCGACTCTCCAACTTCCAGCCTGCGATCGGTCTCTGCCACCAGAGGGCGCGAGCGGGCTGGTCACCTCGCCACCAAAACCAAACGCCATCCAGTCAATTCCTACTCATAGTAACCCTATACGACAGAATAGAGCTGCACCATAGGCTTTCTAGGAGCTCTGGTAGCATAGTGCCTAAGGCACTTGACTGCTAACCAGAAAGCTGGAGGTTCAAACCCACCAGCCACTCCTCGGAAGGTTGGGCAAGCTATTTCCATTGTGATACCGCCTCAAAAACCCAAGTTGGGGCCAACCCCACGGTAAAAATGTTATAGATCTTTACAGAAGCAGATTGCCTCAGCTTTCTCCGCGGTGTTTTAGTGGGTTCGAACCGCTGACCTTTTTGTTAGCAGCCAAATGCTTTACCCACAGCACCACCAGCGCTCCTCTCTCTTCTCCACTCATCCCCTAAATACCTGAAGCATAAAGAAAGTGATTGCGACAGCAAAATCTCTGCTGCATCTCTCTGCCTCTGGGGCGGGACCTCCTGGAAAGGTGTGCCGCAGCCCGAGGCGGAGAACAACGTCTTCTCCCAGCTTCAGCTTTTCAGCTTTCCTTACAACACTTACTCAAGGCGCACTGCTTCAACCTAGCGCCAGGAGGAGGCGGAGCTCATGCTCTCGTGCCGCCCACCCCAACTCACGTGACCCACACGCAGTTCTCGTGGCCGGAAGGGCTCTCGACCGCCGCGCGCGCGCTCGTGCTTTCGTGTTTCTAGGAGTCCGCGGGGTTCCCCAGTTCCTGGACTTGTGGTGTGCTCGCATTCACCCTTATTCCCCGGGTTGACTCGCCCAGAGAGCTCGGCAGCGGCCTTGCGTGCACTCGTTGCTCAGACTGTGCCCTGCCTCTAAGGCACGCTGGGCTTCCAGGGCACCACCACCATCACCACCATGTGCTCGTTAGCGGCGGGCGCTACGGGTGGGTACCGGAGCCCCCTCAGCAGTGGGCTTACCCAGCCCCCAGTCCGTGCCGCCGTGAGGCGCTGAAATACCCCTTTCTCCCCAGGCTCCCTCGGAACGCGGAGCGGAGGTGGTGGGGCCTTCTAGGAGGGTGGAGGAGGTGCTGGGTGAGGGCCGCAAGCGGACCGGGCGGGGGAAGTGCTCACTGAGGGGAGCGCTCCCCATCCCGCTCCCAGGCCTCTCGTTCGCCCTGGTGCCCGAGGCCGATCTGATCGTTGTGCGTGTGCTAGGCGGCCGGGGCGCTGTGGAGGATGAGGACCTGCCAGAGCTATCGGACAGCGGGGACGAGGCCGCTTGGGAGGATGAGGACGATGCTGAGCTTCCCCACGACAAGCAGCAGACCCCCTGCCTGTTCTGTGACAGGTTCGTCCACTTCATCGCCCGGCCCTAGTCTTAGGGTGCCCGGGCCGCCCGGGTTCAGTGTCGTCTGCCCAGGAAAGACTGGTTTAGAGTCAAATCAGAGTGTCTGTCTTTGGATTCTTGTACCGTTGGTTTGGGTGAAGCCAAATAAGACGGCCCCGTAGTGGTGTAGAGGCAGGAGCCATGATTATACTTCCCTTCCACAGACCTCAGTTTTCCTTTTTGTAAAATAAGAAGGTTGGACTGCATCTTTGGTTTCCCAGTTATGATTGTGCACCCTTACCACCTGAGACACTTCAAGAAAAATTACAGATGCTGAATTCTGCATCATAGTCCTTCTGAATGAGCCTTCTGTTTTTAAAAAGACACTCTGTTAGGTAATTTTGATTGGTAATAAGTTTGGAAGTCACCGAACTAGATAATCCCTAAGGCTCCTTCCAGCATTACATTCTATACTTCTGTAATCAATAGAGACTTTTTCAGGTGTAAAATTTCATTTTCAGACGAGTGCCATTTAAATAGTCTCAGTTCAGTTCGCTTAAGTAAGGACTCCCTCCTTTTGAAGGGGAAGGGATTGATGAAATTTCCACTTCCAAACCAAACCCACTGCCAATGGAGTCAGGTCTGACTCATAGCGACCCCTCCTTGGGTTTTTGAGGCTATATCACTTCTGGGGGGAGCTCTGGTAGCATAGTGGCTAAAGCACTTGACTGCTAACCAGAAGGCTAGCAGTTCAAATCCACCAGCCACTCTTTGGAAGGAAGATGGAAGAAGGAAACCCAAGGAGGGGTCACTAGGACGGCACATGACAACAACATATCACTATGGAAGTAGATTGCCCAACCTTCTTTGTGGGGGGAGAGTGGGAAGTAGATTGCCCAATCTTCCTTCCAGGGAGCGGCTGGTGGATTTGAACTGCCAGCCTTCTGGTTAGCAGTCAGATGCCTTAGGCACTACACCACCAGAGCTCCCATTAAAGGGCAAAAGAGACTGCCATATCAATAACTTCCTCAGGGTCATAAAGTTATGATTTGTCTTTTTCCCAACCTCACAATTTTCCATTTAAAATTCTGCCTTAACACTCTGTCAAATGTTTATCAAAAGGCTTTGACTTTGGCTGATATCTTGGGCATGTGAGCTTTAAAGCAGCCTGGTTGGGAATGGCCAGTGTTCCTATAATAAATATTTTCCCAATAAAATCAATTTGTCACAATAAATTAGCTTTGATATTTAAAAAGTAGTTTGTTTTTACATGTAAGGTAGGAGTCAAAAGTATTAACTTCCCATAAAAGTGCTGAGTTCCTTTCGTCTTATCCATAAATGTTTGTTTTTTCTTAACTAGAAGTAAAACTAGAAACCAGCAGAGATGAAATCCATACTTAACTTTGGGGATCATTGGTGGTGTATTAGCTCCTCTTGGTTTCTCCATGTTTTCATGTAGCTGCATTGGGTCTACATATACTCTAGGTGTCATAAAGTGATACTTACTGAGCACTAGGGGTACACTGCCTTGTGACAGGCTCCGTAAAGACTGCAGGTAACTTATCGCAGTAAACATTTGTTGAAAACTAACCACTGCGTATGTCCTGGGCACACCAAAAAGGCATGTAGCTGCTTCTCAGCTGTGTATTCCTACCTCTGTGTCCTTCAGTTTTGCAGGTCACATAATTAAGAAGGTTAGTCTTACACAGTGTAATGCAAGTACCCAAGTACTTTGAGAACACTACCGGATCACTTTTGAAATATTTGGCACTTTGGGAATGTGCCAGCTGTAAAGTGACATGCTTTGTTTCTAAAAGCAGTTTGAGCTGTGCCAGTTCAAAATCTCTGGAAGCAGAGTTGACACTAAGAGGAGAAAAAAATCTCAAGTAGAGAATTTTCATGACCTGAAAATGGTCTGTCAGAGGGAGCTCTCTTTTAAAAGCCTTGTGATAAATTTACAAATGAATTTGTCACAATAAATTAACTTTGATATTTAAAAGGTAGTTAATTTGTTTTTAAATGTAAGGTAGGAGTCAGAAGTACTAACTCCCCATAAAAGTGCTGAGTCCTTTCCTTTTATCCATAAATGTTTGTTTTTTCTTCACTAGAATTAAAACTAGAGATCAGCAGAGATGAAATCAATACTTAACTTTTCTTTGGGGATCATTCCATAATGCTGCTGCTTGATTTTTCAGGTTATTCACATCTGCTGAGGAAACTTTTTCACACTGTAAGTCTGAGCACCAATTTAATATTGATAACATGGTCCATAAGCACGGTGAGTATTTTTTAAAATAAAGAACACTTTAGCTGTGAAATTTAAGTTCAAACCTTAAAATTTTTCAAATTTCTCCTTTTCTATGTAAGTCCGATATAGGGAAAGATATATTAATACCTTGTCTCATGGAAGTGAAAAAGTCTTTTTGACAAGTAATCTTTGAGGAAAGATTAATAGTAAGGGAACCTTCTAGACAACATCCACTGTATGTAAGTTTATATTGGCTTCACAGCTTAAAAGAAAAAAATTAGCTTGACGTGATTGAATTTTATC